AGAGAACTTTTCAAGAACTGAATTTTATCTGTAAAGGTGCGGAGATCTTCCTGAGCTTGTGTAAGTATCTGAACCAATTCACCCGCATAAACCTCTTTTTGATTAAGGAGTTCTTTCAAACCCCTTATCTCTTTAGTAGTCTTGGAGAGTTGTTCAGCAAAAATTAATTCCAGTCTATCCTTATCTTTCCCGACTTGACTTGAATAAGCTTTTTCAACTGCTAACTCAGTGGAAATAATTCTCATTTGTTGCTCTAAAGCATTATTCTCTTCTGCAAGAACTTTTTTTTTCTAGTTGAAGACCTTCAAACTGTTCTTTCCAATTGTCAGCCTCGGCATGCAATTTAGTAATTTGCTAGTCAGTCTAAGAAACTCTTTTCATAAGCTCTATGCCAATCAAGTTGATCTATACAAAAGATAGGGGAGGAAGAGTTATGAATGAGGAAAAAGAAGGGAGGAAATGTAATTAAACCTATACCTTCAAAGAAGAATGAACAATGTCATTCATTGAGGTTACTGAACCATGGCTTTCCAACTTCTTCTTCTCCACGGGGCCAAGCAATGGTTTCAACCGCACATCATCTTGACCAGACTTTCTCAATAAGTTCCCGCCTTTAGGGACCTCGATTACAACTTTTTTCATCTCCCCTCTGTCGCAATAAGGCTCAGCTTCTATATGAGAAACAACAACGGGAGCGACAACTGGAGTAACATCAGGTAAAGACACATGGGGTTAACGGTAGATGAAACTGGAAGGGAAGCGAGAGGTAATTCTTCAAAAACATGCCCGAAACCTTCTTTACCCTCAAGCCATGGGCGAAAAACGTATCAATACGACTGGATGGAGGATTAGCAACATCTTCATCAGAAATCCCTAAAGGAGCATTTTCTAGCTCATCAATGAGTCTGAAAGGAATTGAGCTCGATGGAGGATCATGAGAAGTAGGGGTTCCATCATCGGAAACCACGCGTCTCTTGACACGCGGTTTTCTCACCAAAGAACCTTCTTCTACCTCTTCTTCATCATCAGACCCACGAGCTTCACTAGTTATCCTTTTGGAGTAAGAAGCACTCAAAATACGTTCCCGAGCCAAACTTATAGAAAGCCTGGTTGATGGAACATACGTAGGACTAATGCCACGAATAGGAAATCCTAAAAAAAAGGGGGGATAATGACAAATTTTCATATGAACAAGTAAAAAAAGGAGAAGAATTATGAAGGTGAAAAGCACCGTGCGTTTTCATTTTTCAACCGAATTTTTGAGAAAGAAATTTCTAATATATTTTATCCATAGGAGCATCAGTCAATATCTTTTCTACCCAAGCGCGGAGGTTAGGAATTTCTTCAAAGAGTTTCATGGTTGCTGAAAAAATGGGTATATAGTTACATAAAGAAATTCAAGACATATAAAAGGAAAAAGAAAAGAAAACTTACGTGCAAAGTTCCATTTTTTTGGAAAAGGCATGTTTTCTTCACCCATTAACCCGCTAGTAGCAGCAACAAAGCAGGCGTACCAGCAAATGGTCCCGGTCATCCTCGGGGCTAACTAACACTCTTTTGCTTCTAGCCACAAGGGAAAAGACGCATTCACAAAACAACTTGGGGGAGTAAAGGTAAAGTAAGTGATGAAAGGTAAAAGGGACAGAGACCAAATCCGACAACTAACGAAGGCATGCTACATTCCTCCATATGATGGGGCCAATCTGGCCAAGGCACATATTAAAGTAGCGACAAAACTCGATGATCACTGGATCAATGGGAGGCTTAAACCCTAAAGTAAATAGGTAGGTATAAATGACAGAAAACCGACATGGTAAGAGGTGATTGTTTGATTGGCACCAGAGATTAAAACTGAAAAATCTAATTTCCAATGATATTCTCGTCGAACCAAGGAAAAAAGACCGACAGTGATTAAACTTGTGTAAAGTTCAGGAGTGTTAAAGGAAGCTATAGAAGAGACTTGATTTCTCATGGTCTCACGGTCTGTTACAAAGAAAACTCTTGAGGAATAATCTCAGCAACTGTAGGTTCACGCACAAGTTCATCCAGGTCCCTATTTTTAGAAGAAGATCTATGGGTTAGAGGAGCCTTAGGTCTACAAGAAAATGGCCTAGCAGAACTACTTTGAGATGAGGAACCACGATTAGATAATGAACCAAGGCTACAAAGTCTACCACCTCTCCTACTTCTAGTAGGGGCAGTGGAAGGAGCAAGTTCGTCAATGATGGTGTTGTTGAAGACATGTTTAACGAAGGAAATACAGAATAAGGGTACAGAGATACGAAGGACTAAGGTATTGGATACAGAAGGAAGAAGGCTTCAAGATATAAAAAAGAATGAAGTATTTATAAAGAGATACAACTGTCGTTAAAATTGGCCATTATGAATCGTCATAATGGAACCGTCACTTCGTGACTGACGCAGCCGCTATTAAAAACCCTAAAAAAATACTGAGAAACTGCAGATCCAATCATAAGAAGCCACGTGGCATGGGCATTAAATGAATGTGACATACGTCAAATCGATTCTGAAGGAGGCATAATGATACTCGAGAGACGGCGGTAAAGAATTTCCGCCATAAAAATTTACCACTTCTTGAATATTCAGTTGAGAATATACATAAAGTGGGAGGACTACCTGTTTGGTAGAAAAAAGACATGACGCGTGGACTGTCAACAAGATGACGGGGCATGACACGTGGAACATCAATAAAAGGACAAGTGGCATTCTTTATTAGGCGAATTAAGAATGTAGAAAAGGCATGGGAGAAACACCCATGGGGTTCGTTGAGGAAAGAACTGGGCTTGACAGCTGTTAAAGGAGAAACAAGAACGAAATGAATTAAGGCTGCAAAGAAGGGAAGATACACGAATAAGGAATGGAAATCAGTACGGTTACAAGGAATCCTTAATCATAAATGTATCAGTTACAGTTACATATGGTAATGGGCTATCAATACAATTAATACCATTAATGAACCCAAATTAAGTGTGAGAACGGTTATAATCATATGCTCCTATATAAGGACAAAATTCTCATTTGTAATGACACGTTACGATTATTATTAAAATCCACACTATTATTCTTTACTTTATTCGCTAAGCTTTAAGTTTTAATTTTGGGGAGTGATTATTGGTTCATTTCTTATTTTTCTTTGTCATTCATTTCTGTTCTTTGATCTATTCTTCAAAATTTGTTGGGAAAGTGAAGTATATCTTGGTTATCAGTAACCCGATTTCTACTTGATATTGACTTTGACTAAGAAATTTGTTTTTGGTTAAACAGTTATCTTATCATATTAATTATTTTTAATTTTTTATTTCAATTTTCAATATCCACTATGATTTTTTTCTATTTCAATTAATCGCAATAGAGAAAATATGAAAATATACTTCATTAATGTCTTATTTTTCAAAATAAAGAAAAATGCATTATCATATTCTTAATATCCTGGAACTGAATGGAAAAAAGAAGATGAGGCAAATGGCAAGAAAGAAAAAAAATAAAAATAAAATAAAAAGAAGAAGAAGAAGAAAGAAGATGAGGACCAGATCGTGAGAAAGGGAAAAGTTAGAACAAAAAAGAAGAAGAAAGAAGATGAGGAGCGAGAAAGAAGGCAGGTGGTGGGTAAAAAAAATGAAAGGGGTCCAATTTTAATTATACATTATCAACGGGACCACTTTTTATTAATTTTACGCGTTTTTATTTTATTTTCTTTTTCTTTCATATTAAGTTTTAGGGTGATATTTATTTCACTTCAAACAAGAATAGGGGGTAAATAAATGCCCGTAAAACGGCAGTGTTCAATTAAGAGGGAAATTATGTATTTTCCCAAGAATTAATTCAACAACTTTTACGGGCAATATTTACCTACTGAGCTATTAAGGACAAAAATTTAAGAGTGGCTTAAAGAAAGGCAACAGAAATGGCTATTTCATAGTTTGTAGCCCAGCCAACCTAACCACTAGGCACTAGCCCAATGGCCATAATGCTTTGTTTGGTGTATTGTACCAGATTTGGTTCCTCCATCATGTACACTCTTTTGCTGATGTCCTCATGATGCTTTCAGCCAAAGAGAGCATATAGAGATTTGCTTGTAAATTTTTATAGATGAAAAAAAAATAGAAAAATATATTTTTTAGCATCACTTAAAAATAACAGCCGACAAAAAGTGTATTTTTTGTATATATATGTAGTATATACATATAATATATACTGTTTGGTTAGTAAATATTAGTTTCCGCCGACCGATCAACTTTGGATTTTGCGCAAGAAAATACGTATCACTTTGTGAAAATGGGTTTGTCAAAATGGTATCACCTAGTCCAAGTACTCCCTCAGTCTTCTGGTGCTAAAATTTGTCCAATGAGGCCTACACCCAAGTTTTTATTCTGGACAAAATGTATAAAGATTCGGTTTATATACAACAATTTGACGTCATTTATATATAATAGCTTCTGAAATAATTCACAATATCATAGGCTACTTATGGATACTCGTAGTCTCGTACTCATCAATTGGGAACCCTCACAATTTTTTTTTATTTTTAAAAAAGACAACATGTACAAAATTCTAAAATCTTCCACTTAGAGGCCGTACAACCAAGATATACATATATAAGAGATTTCAAAAATACGTCCCACATATAATATAAATATTCCAACATTCATATTGACCATATCTATTCTCTATTCATGATATTATGCTACTTCATCAATTAAGTTAAGAGTTTTGGATAGCATATGTTCCTCAGATTCTTTGAGTTCCTTTCACGGATTTATTCCTTACAACCATAATAATACTTACAACTGTAAGATCAAGTGAAGGTAAATTTGTGAATAAAAAAAGAAAAAACTACAGTTGGAGATAAGGCCGGTAATTAATTTTAATAGTTAGTGGTCCACCAAATATTGGTCGTGCAACCCTGTAATGTTCTGACCTCCAATTAAATATATACGAGCACCCTTATACAACACCACCACAATGTTTTGACAATTTTTTCTCTATATATTAAGCGTTCAGAAAACAAACCAAATTATATCAGTAGTCAAAATCAGACACACATCCCTGAAGTTGCTCTAATATTGACAATGGCTTCAAGCAATTACTTGTCAGCTTTCTGCATTCTCTTGTTCCTAGTAGCAGCCACCAATATTGTTTTTGCAAGCAGCAGTTATGGAAATGGATCTAATTATGGTTATGGCAGTGCCCCAAAATCCAACTTGAAGAAACATTTGCCCACAAAGGGATTGATTCCTGCATCAATCATTGCTGTTCAGGGAATGATTTATTGCAAATCAGGATCTAAACTCATCCCTCTTAAGGGTAAGTCCTTCTATATGGCCGGAGTATATAATAATACTTGTATTTTGCCTTCAAAATATGCATACAGACAATCAGATTACCTACCAATTTCTCTCAAATACTCACATCCTGTTTTTGCTGAACTTGAATTTTGCCAAGCTTCCGTAAATCTTGAAGGACCGTCATATACTCAATAGCAACATACTGGTGAACATAATTTATTAAGGATAGTGAATATACATACTTTATATCAAATCCTTTGTTTTTAGTTTTCCTAAAATATATTTTAACAATATGCAATACCATATATATATATATATATATANTACATCCCGTACTTTAATATCAAGATAAGTTGTATAGAACTCCAAAAAAATTTGAATTTCTACAAAGATTCTTATAGTGACAACACTTTAGGATTACACGGAAAGGTAAATGACTGATGGAGTATCTTTTATTAGATCTTATATTGCTTTTAGGACATTTCCGGTCCAATTATTGATTTCAAAAGTCTATTATTATTAGTTTAGGAATTCTCACCAAAGCTTAAAAGAAAAAGGGAATTATGGACTACTAATTTTTGAGGTTTGGCTTGAGCTTAAGTTTTGTTTTTCTTACCGAAATCGTTTAACAGTATATATATATATATATATATATATATATATATATGGTGTATATATATAGTGCAAATTTTTCATGTGATAATTAGTGCAAATTTGATAAACATAAACTATGTTGTCCCACTTTATATGATGCAGACATGCAGTTACTCTTTGGAGAATCAGAAAAAATTTGCTTACCGCGATTTTTTTCATGTCTTTTAAATATTCATTTTTATATGATTAATTATTATAATTTATGATAATATTTTTATGCAATTTCTAAGTACATAAATTTTATTTATCGGAATTCACGTAAAATAAAATTTAGATAATTTGACACTCGTACGGAAGGAGTATAATTTTTAAAATTCCAGAATAGTTATCCGAACCTAAAACAGTGAATACGCTGCTCCCGTTGCCTAAAGGTGGATCCACATCTGCCCCTAACGTGGCCAACTGTCTTCATTTACAGTTGTTGCATGCATGCACGTAAGATTTCCCCCCAAAATTTTGGTTCAATTTTAATTTGTACACACTAACATCATAAAATTGCAACAGTTAACTATAAATAGAAAAATATATGGTAACCTAATAAATAAGTCAAACAACCTGTTACAACAAATTTAATTATACAATCAGTGAATATAAGTTAAATCCGTTTGACCTTGTATGTGCAGGAGCTGTAGCAAGGATAACATGCCTTGGGGTGGAGAAGAACTACGGATATGAAACTGCGCCTTTCTCCTTTTCAAGTTACCAATCGGACTCAAAGGGTTATTACTATGCAGTATTTTCTCTAAAGGAGCACAAAGGATATGAATCTTGCAAAATCACACAGTGCAAGGCCTTCTTAGAAAGTTCTTCTCTGGAAGAATGCGATATCCCAACAGATGAAAATAAGGGGAAAACAGGAGCTCTTCTTACTTCTTACCGATTTCTCCATGGCAAGAACACATTATTGTACTCTGTTGCTCCTTTTGTTTACACTTCTGATGACTACAAATCCAATTACCAGGGTGAGGGTTATTAGATGAATTTAGTTTGCTACTTAATTCTGTCCCATCAATAATTTAATTATCAGCCCCATGAGATTTGATGAGTCTTGATCCTTTTTCTTTCTATTTAATTTGTATTTTGCTAATTTATTACTATGCATGAAATAGGGGGCATCATTTCTCTTGTGACAATGAATTCCTTCTTCTTTCTTCATGTGTTATTGCTATAAATGTTACTATGATTTTGGATCAATAAATTAAAATATTATTCATTTCTTATTTGGAGTTGTCACAGCAACTTTGATTTTGTGAATCAGTAGGTTCAAAGTTCAACTTCGTCTTATAAATCTATATATACTTTGATCAAATAATTTATACCGAATTTCACGATATTCTTTAGTATCGTTGGTATATATAGATTTTTAATCAAAGTTATCACCGGGAGAAAAGCGTAAAAATATATAACAATCTACTGAAATTCGGGGAAGAATAGGTTAAAGAGGGGGGTTTTCAATTTTCCATCATTGTTTTCCTTTTCTTTTCTTTTCTTATTTTTTCCATTTTACTTCTTTTTTTACGTGTTTTACTATTATTGGCTAAGCATGCTGCATCAGGAGCGAGTGATATACACGCATCTTTGTTGTTTGGAACTGCAAAGTTTGTGTCTAATTGACAAAAAATTTCTTCACTTTAGGTGTTCAATAGGAACTATCCTTAGTTTAGATGTCTAGGTGAAAAATATGGCTAAGTTTAGGGGGTCACCTGTGTATTCTGCCTTCATTAATTCAATACTTAATTATATAACTGATATTGTCTGTGTTCGTTCTCCCTTTATCCTCAAGACCTCACATGTTTCTCCTATGTTTTAAATTGAAAAGAAACTTAATCAAAATACACAAGTCTATCTAAAAGAATTACTAGTTGATTACGGAAAGAAACTAGGAAAGATCAATCAAACATACTCCCCGAATATGAAATTGCATCGAGAAGAAAAAAGAATTTTCAATGATACTTATACACGGTCAAAATCGGGCTCGCCTTTTTTGTGACACTGATCAAAGCTGGAGCATGATAAGTCAGGGATCGACTTCGATTTATTTTAGACTATGGCTCATAGTTAGATTGTCAAGCTCGAGACTCTGAGACCCATTAAGATCGAGATCGATCAAAATCGAGACCGACCACGATCGAGACCGAACAAGATAGAGATCGAGGGTAGCTTACTGGATTGAATAACGGAAAGACAAAATATCCATGATCGAGCGAGGATCACGGCACAAATTCCGGCACGTATCAAGTGGAGGCCGATTAATTAGCCAATCATAGGATTTCAATTGTAACAAGAGGACTCCCCTACTATATAAAGGGGTCTAGTCATTTGTAAAAGGGAGGATATTCACGTTACATAAATAAATACATCATCTCCTTAAGCTCTCAATACTTTATCATTCTGTTCATACTTTCCAGTAAAGTACTTGTTCGATTCGAGGGTGACCTAACCCGAGGATCAAAGATAGACATCTCATTTAGTTTGATTTACTCTTATTTTTATTGAATTTCAATATCCATTTAAGTTTTCTCTAAGTTTGTGCTAAGTGAAATCACGTGTCCTTAAAACCACATTATAAACTCAATTGTTATCCATTTTTTGGGTAAACAGCTTGGCGCCCATCGTGGGGCTAATAGTGATTGGCTAGTAAAAGTTTTCGTAACACGCACTATTTTAGGCTTGTTCTTTGAAGTGTCTTTGATTACAGAATTAAAAAATGTCAAACTCTTAGTCAGCACCTCAACACTTTAACAATGATCTCAGCCATCATGACAAAAATGAGAACATTGCACCAGGAAACATTGTACCCACTGCTGGCCTCGATGGAGTTCTGGCTGTAGAACAATCGACGTGAGTACACATATAGCCATCAATGAAAATTTGGCCGTCGACCCTGAAAGAAGCATTCGCGGGGGTACCTGATCAGCTACTCAGAACGCATACGATGGTGAAGATGGCAGGATCAGCCTGCGGATGATCTTTGAAATGCTGCAGGCTCAACAGACAGCAATAACCCAGCTTCAAAACCAGAATCACGCTTCGGCAGGGTCGAGCTCAAACCATCCCAAGAAGTCATCACAGGGTTGAACCGGCCACAAGGAAACCGAATGAGAAGGAGTCGGAGTCCAATCCTACTATCATAAAAATGCTCGAAGAATTGACAAAGTGATTTGAGACAGGGGAAAAAAAGATCGAGGAAAATGATAAGAAGGTGGAAACTTATAACTCCAGGGTCGACCAAATCCCGGGGGCACCACCGATATTAAAAGGACTAGATTCCAAAAAGTTTGTACAAAAACCTTTCCCCCCAAGTGCGGCTCCGAAACCGATTCCCAAGAAGTTTCGTATGCCCGAGATTCCAAAGTATAACGGAACGACAGATCCAAACGAACACGTCACCTCATACACATGCGCCATCAAGGGAAATGAATTGGAAGATGACGAGATTGAATCCGTATTGCTGAAGAAATTCGGGGAGACTCTATCGAACAGTGCTATAATATGGTATCATAATTTACCACCTAATTCTATTGACTCATTTGCTATGCTTGTAGATCGTTCTATAAAGGCACACGCCAGAGCCATTAAGGTCACTACAAGAAAGTTAGACCTTTTCAAGGTAAGATAGAAAGACAACGAGATGCTCAGGGAATTCGTATCTCAATTCCAAATGAAATGAATGGATTTGCCACCGGTCACCGAAGATTGGGTTGTTCAAGCTTTTACTCAAAGTCTCAAACATTCGGAGTTCCACAGCTTCACAGCAGTTGAAGCAGAATTTGATCGAATATCTAGCTATCACTTGGGTCGATGTACATAATCGATATCAGTCAAAGATCAGGGTCGAGGATGATCAACTGTGGGCTCCTTCTGGGTTAGTTTATCCTAACAGGCTCGCGCATAGAGTTAAAAAAGATTTTGACCGTGATCCAAGGTCGAATAGAGATCGATAGCAACCGTATAATGGAGACCATAGAGGCATCAGATCTAGGTGAAACTCTTCACGGAATGAGAGGATAATGATCGAAGTCAAGGTTCACGGGGTCTCACGAGCAAGGGTGGTTTCGATAAGGATGCCGGGCCCAAAGAAGCACCACGATTGTCATAATATAGCTTCAATGTAGATGCATCCGCCATCGTATCGGCCATCGGACATATCAAAGAAACTAGATGGCCTCGACCTCTATAGAACGATCCGGCAGAGAAATCCAAACCAAATATGCAAGTATCATGGTACCCATGGCCATATAATAGAATATTGTAGAAAACTAAGGGAGGAAGTAGCCCAAATGTTCAACGAGGGGAACCTTCGAGAATTCTTAAGTGATCGGACCAAAAATCAATTCAAAAATAGAGATTCCAACTAACAGAATGAGCAAGAAGAGCCACAACACGCGATTCACATGATCGTTGAGGGGTCGATATTCTTCAAGGACCGGTATTTAAATGCACCAAGGTGTCGATCACAAGGGAGAAGTGAACTCGGGATTACTTACCAGAAGGGACCTTGTCTTTCAATAACGAGGATGCAGAAGGGATATAACAACCCCACAACGACGCACTAGTAATACTTGTACTTATGAATAAGAGTCGAGTTAAATGTGATTTGATTGATCCAAGTAGCTCGACCAACATAATTTGATCGAGGGTCGTAGAATAGCTCGGCCTACAGGATCAGGTTGTACCCGCGACTCGAGTTCTAAAACTAACATGAATTGTTTTGCTTGGTCCCATCTCGATATGATAGGGATTCCACCGGAAATCACCACTGGTAAACTAAGCCTAGATCCAAAGTTCCATCCAGTAAAGCAAAAAAGAAGACCCAAGTCTGAGGTCAAACATACTTTCATCAAAGACGAGGTAACCAAACTTCTTAAAATAGGATCCATCCGGGAAGTCAAATATCTCGAATGGTTAGCGAACTTAGTAGTAGTCCCTAAGAAGGGGAATAAACTTAGAATGTGTATAAATTATAAAGACCTAAATAAAGCATGCCCCAAGGATTTTTTCCTTTGCATAATGTCGATCGCATGAGCGATGCCACGGCCGGCCACGAGATCTTTAGTTTTCTTGATGCCTACTCCGGGTACAACCAAATACAGATGAACCCAGAAGATGAGGAAAAGACTTCGTTTATCACTAAATACGACACCTATTATCACACCTCCTTTTTACCCACCCGAGGGTATATAAGAGAGTTTTTTTGCAATTTAAGTGACATTAATCGAAATGGGATGATTTAAATTAATTTTTTTATAGTTGCCACTTGGAATAGTTTATGTTTATTTCGTGTCCGAAGTCACCGGTTTATTTTAAATCCCAAATCGAGGAAATTGCGACTTTATTTAAAAGTCTGCAAACCAAAAATTCTATATAAGGAATTTTGTTAACCCGGGAGAAGGTGTTAGGCATTCCCGGGTTTCGTGGTTCTAGCACGACCGCTTAGCAATTTATATTTGGCTTAAATAAATCGATTAATTACTCATTTTAGAACCTATATGCTTTTATTCCTTTAACCGCTTTTAGTTCCTTGATTATTCCTAATGAAAGAATTGAGTTACGCATACGTATACTCATTTCCTTTGGCGCGTCAAAAATTATGCCATGCGTACGTGTCAACAATTAATCACGCATTATTATTTATTAAGAAAGTTTTAGTCGAAGTTGCGCGAATGCATCCCTCGATTTATTTTTAGAACGAAATTCATGATTATGTTACGCGAACGTATATATAATCACAACAATAATCTAAGTAGCGCCTAAAGCAAACTACGAGTGTTTATTTCTAATATCTAAGTTATAATATAATAGGGCCATAAATTAGATGATTCGGTTATGAATGACACACCTCAAATTATAAAAAAAGGTTGTATTCAATTTTATATTAACTACAAATGCTCATGATTATTGGTTTTCCTAAGTTATTAGCAATATCAACTAAAGAATGAAGGAGGTATTTTGGGCTATAAAATGTTGGACTATTTGAGATCATTTATCAATCAACTGGTAGAGGCCCAAAATAAGGAAATGGGCTTAACGAAATAACTCATAAATATGGCCCAGTTCCGTGCTAATTTACTGGGCCAATCACGTTTTATCAGCTTTTCTTAAAAAAAATAAAAGAAACACAACCTATCAGCTTGAACTTCATTCATAATATGAAA